GACTTCAGGTTTTTCATTAATAATTCCTGATGTTTTGCCCATGACATCATAATTTTTCATAGAAAGAAAAGATAACCTGCTTATTTCAGAGCACTCAACAAACCAGTAATAGTGGGGAAGGGGCATTTACARACAAGGTAAAGAAAGCAATTTGTCTCTGAACTTTCTGGAAAATACAAAAGCTAAAGCAGAGAGGTTAAGGAGAGGAAAGTTTGCCTCCTTACTGAAGAGGAAGCCAATTTAACCTTGACTTAGTGTTTGTGAAATCTTAGCATCCATGCAGACCTTTAAATGAAAAAACAACCCTGCTTCTCAATTACTCTGGGGTCATAGTGACTGCAGAAATTCTGTGTTTCTGGTATAAAAGTATCCTGATTTTATTTTCCATCAGAAAAGATAAATTGTTTCATTCTCAGGTTTTGAACTAGTAATGGTTCAAGCACACAAGTAATCTTTCTGATWTCTGAAATACCATAGTTTTTCAGGACTGTAATTGTTCGTTTGTTATGTTTTTGTACACACTTTTCCATAACAGATATAACAAGTAAAATTGCAAAAGCCTCCTTAGTTCAGCAAAAAAACCACCCTATTTTCTGCTTACTTAACAAGATGAATCCTCTCATGAGTGGTTGAATGAGTAACAGTGGCTGTAAAAAAGAGATTGGACCTTGGGGCAGAAATAAGGGAGAATGGAAGAGGAATAGGGGGTAACAGAAACTGAAATACTCCTTTCAGCGGTATCAAACTATCAGAAATACTCAGAGATCTCATCCCTTTACAGGCTGAAAGACCTAAGTATGACATCTGAAAAAAAGCAAACTTCTTCGCCCTTTTTTCTTGCTTCCCTGGAGTAGAGTTCTGCTAAAAAGAGCTGTTTGGTCTWGTAAGAATTAAGAAACATTTCTTTTTATTTGATTTTCAAGCATTTCTAGCACCTCGAGTGCATTGAACACAATCTAATAGGGAAAGACCTGCCAACTTAATAATAACTGCAATGTTTTCTCGTGCCAGTCAACAGTATTGAGGCTTCTGACAAGACATTTCTATAGGGTTTATCAAAAGCAARGGGGTTTTGAGGCAAAAATTAAAACAATTTCTTTTCAATTTCCATCTTCTCAAAAAACAGCTTGTGCAGTTAAACTTGAATCCTTTCCAAGTACCTTTTTTGACTACACATCACACTTCAAAATTTAAAAGAGGCAAGTTTTCCTTTATGAAAGTCAACATTAWAAGCTTTTAATAAAAATTGTTTTACAACCTGAACCATAAAATTTTTACTGGAAGACTATATTCTCAAGATGGAAAACATTTTGGDGGAGAGAAACAGAAATTTATTTGGATACTACTGTAAATAATTATCAACRTGTACTAGCAGACTTTGCTGGAATGCACAAAATGTAGTAAAGGAAATGTTGCCCTTTTCTATCTATATTTAAATTAGACCTTTGTTCAAAAGCCCATTTCAGAATAATTTTTTTTTTGCTTAAACCAACACTGGAAGAGGTGAACTATTTAAAAAAAGAAATCCCCCCAAATGAAAAAGAGGATTATCCAATTTTATTTTCTGCCCAGTTTTGATAAAACCTCAGTGATAAAAACCCTCATATACTATCCTACATAATACATTGATATATAAGCAGCATGTCCAAAAATCCTAAAAATACAAGAAACTTTTAATGCATATTAAATATAACATACCAAAGTCATCAACCCTACACTGCAAAATAATACAAGTACAGGGGTCAGAAAGTCCCACAGGACAGCCTTTCATGCTGTCTTCTGCTATTTTCCTGGACTAGAAATACTCTCATGGCAGGTCCTTTTACAAAATTAATTATAAACAGATAAAATTGATGATATTTTCATTCTGAATGTTATCCCTACAGACACCCAAGCATACCAGTAGTTTTATTTAAGCAGCTGAATTTTATTATTCATTGGAGAAAGGAAAACAGATGTGTTTGTGTGTGTGTGTGTGTGTAAGAAATCTAAGTGTAGGAGGGAAGGAAAGCAGAACCAAATGTGAACTCCTGCATACAAAAKATGGTGGTATCAAGTGTGGGGTGTAACATATGTTGGAACACTAGTCTTAATTTTAACATTCCTTTGGATGGGTAGATTCATGGTAAGTATGCCACTAAGATTCTTCAGCCACTTGCAAGCATAGGAATGTAAGAAGAGAAGAATGGTAGGAAGGGACTACAATTAGAGAGAATGCATGGCTAAATCAGCAGATAATATGCAGGAATATTGAGATGATTGATGGACAAAAAGTGAGAAGGAAAAGTAGTGTGACTGGAGACTCTCTCTGGAGTCTCCAGAGACTGAGGTTTGCCTGCTGAGCTCTGCAGCAGTGRGTCTGAGGCTGCAACACGAGTGGAGCACATGCTGGTTATGGCATGGAACTGCTGGAGACTGAAGGAAAGACTGAACATAAGAGGAAACACCATCTTACTCAAATGCAGACATACTGTCAATTATCCCCCTTGGTTCCCCTATTTTAGTTTATTCCCCTGTTGAAGATAACAGAAGAGGCCAGGAACCTTTGGAAATTAGAGTTATACAAACAAGAATTCAATGAGAGACAACTACGAATACTTTCCAAAGGCTAGCTGTTAAAGATCTTCTATCTCAGATTATTTCTAAAAGGGAGATACAATATCTAGCTAATTAACACAAGATACCAAGTTGTTGGCAGGAAAGATCTTTTCAATACAAGGGGTACTATAAGTGTTATTATCATTACTACTACTACTAAGAAAAAAACAGTAAAATATGGTATTGAACAAAGGGCAACACACTGCAATGTTGTTACATCTTGGTTTAAAATAAATGTATTTCGATCGCTGGGAACAAAAACATACTATAAAATGAAAACTTGTAAAAATAAATCTCAGGCAAATAATCCAAGGAGGTAGGGAGTGATACAAGAAATTGGCATTGGTTTGCTTGACTGCTTTTATGCTAAATGACATGAGGATTGGGCTGAATACTCTAAAGTGTAATATTCTGTGTTAAGGTTGATTTGTTCAAATCTATTATTCTTGTCAGAGTTTGGTTATTTATGCACAGGGGAGAAAAATCAAATATTATAAACACTCAAGGCAATGATTTAACTCCTGTTTTCTATTTTTTTCAGTTTGAAGCTACTGCAGACCACTTAGATGTTGCAAATCCTTTTATTCCCTCCACAGGAGTCCGAACACACTGACCTTTCTTTACCCTACGCAACTTTCAGTGGGATAAAGAATATGCTGGTTTAACACTAGGCAGGGTAGCTGGGATGTACATATCCAAGCTGACTTAACTCACCTTTATAGTGACTGACAAAAGCCCATCCCAAGGCAGGATGAGTTTCAGTACAGACTGTTAAARCCTAAATACATCAAACAGCCTAAATGAAACTCCAGGCCCCTGTCTGGCTACACTGTGCTGAGTACCCACAGGAGCAGTTTTAAAGCTGGATCAGGTGTATCCTGAGGAGCTATAACTGTGTTCCTAGACTGRAGTGTAGATGTATGATATGAGAGATGACTGCAGGTATTCATCAGCTTTGAAAATTAAACATTGCCCAGGATAAGAGCAGTAAAGAGACAAAGACAAATTTGTAAAGGAAATAAGATTTTACTTTCTGGAAATTGCATTTAGACAAAAAGTCTGATTAATGAAAAAAGAGTAATTTTTTAGCATCTAATCACATTTACTCAGGGTGGTTTGAATTCTCACCTGTGCTAGTTATCCAGTAAATTTCTAATAAATTAAATAATTTATGTTTCCTCAGTTATCTRAAGCTTTGGTGAGAAGATTTCTCACAAGAAACTGATCCCAGTCCAAAAGATTTCTCACAGAAATGCAGGAATTCTGAAGATTTCTATTTTCAACTTCCTAAACAACAAGATTGCTCATTTACTTACTTTGCTCAGCAATTTCAACAACCAAGGGTAGCAAAAGCCTCCCCAAATGGGAGCACTATTTCCTTATGAATTTGTTTCTACCTCATTTTTGGTTTCATTTTGAGCAAAATATCTCATRTATCCTATGTATACAGCTAAAATTCTTGGAAAAGAATGTGTACAAAAGTCCAATACAACATATTTAAAAATCACTGAGTACTTCAAACATTTTAACATGTATATAAGCACCAACAATATTTTTGGGAAGGGAGAGCAGAAGACCTGCTTCTTAAGAACTTGATCATTTTTTAGGGAAAACATCAGAAACTTGTTGCATGAAATTAAGGGATGAAGGCAATACAAATTTAAAATAACTTTTTTTTTTTGTCATGAACTGATCTACAGCTATTTAGTCAATCATGTGATTTCATTAAGATAAAATTTATTAAGGTACTTAAGCCTGCCAAATTGTAACCATGATTGATGCTATTACCAAGACTAAAAATTTTGAAAGAGCTTTATCTATTTGGMTCCTAGGTATTCAGAAAATGAAAAAAAAATTATTTAAAATCTATAAAAGACATATATAAATTCTAAATTAAAGAATGCTATCTTTATTTTGATATGAACTGTTTTATCAAGCAATATTTTTAGGTTTATTTTCTTAAACTGACCTGATTTCTGTTCTGAAATTCTTATGAATCATCCCCTTGCTGTATACAGTCTTACACACTAAGTCATTGTTATCACATAAGCTGTCCCAAAGAGGTGACAAATCATTATATTTCTGGACAAATAGATGTGCTACAAAAACACTTCTAGCAGGAGYAGTTACAGTTTGATTAAAGGTGAAACAAAATGAAACTGAATGCTAGCTTTTTGTGCCTCTATAATGTTTTTCTTTACTTGATCTTTAATCTTTTAGAGAGATTAAAAGAAGAAGACCTGTGCAATTTGTTTCAAAAATAACACTGTTAGTTCAGAAGGAATSCCTATAAAGATCTGCAGTGCCTGACAGCAAGAATTATTAAGGACAGTAGCAAAGCTGTAGTCATGAATTTAAAATACAGAGATAYAATTTACAAATCTCATTTTGCTTACCTGTCATTGCAATTAGCAGCACACTAAATGGCTGTGAGAAGTAGTCATGGTAAAGGAGRCCTTTTATTTTTAAGTCAGGATACATTTGAAAGAATTTGTTTCACTAGTATATCCTCTCTCACTCTTCAGGGGAGTCTTACTGCAACAAAATAGATATGAAAACGTAATAGCAAAATCTCAGCATTTGCTAAGGTATTGGGTATCTACAGCATTGGAATGGAAAAAGCTTTTTTTCTCTATCTAGCCCAGAAAATATCAGATAACAAATTGCTGTCTTTAAAAAAAAAAAAAAAGATATCTATATCCATCTACCTATCTATATATGCATGCTAAATATAAAGTAAAATATAATGAAATCATTTTGGGGAAAAAACAGAAAAAAAGGTGTTCAATAACTTGCCTAGAGAAGCAGTGAAAATCCTGTTATTTGCAGATATTTAAAACTAAATTGCCCAAAGCACTGGAAAAGTTTATAGCAGAAAACCATTTCGCTGAGCAAGGCAATGGACTACATAAAGTAATAGGCCTTTCCCATCTCTAGATTTCCATGATTCATATAATAACTAAGATGACCAATATTTTTTTTTAACCAATAAAAAGAAAAACAGAATCTTTTAAAACTCTGCCCTTCGTTATTCTAGGAGATACTAARGTTGAAAAGTCTGAAAAGTCCACCAATGATTCCAATATTGCAACAAAATAAAATAAATTATTTAGAATTAAGCACCATTTCACACGTCCTGTATCATACTTTCATTTCTAAAACATTACTCTGACACATTTATAATTGAACATGATCCAACACAACTTGCTGTGTATGCCCAGAGTAAAGTGAAACAGCAAAGACACACAGGGTACACAACAGGTATTTAAGCCCAATTTGAGCTGTAAATCTACTGGTCAAGTTAGAACAAAAAACGACTGATCACATAAGTGAGAATTCCTGAAATGACACAGTGGCCTGGAGTCTTTCCAGCCTTACTTGGAGTATTTACCAAAATACCTGAATTTAACAWTGTCATCTGGAGCTCCACCTACAGCCATTTATAAGAGAGCTGCTCTGCTGTGMAATTCTGGCTACATATAACCCAAAGGAAAACAGACTGAACAGGCAACCTCAGTTATTGATCCCTGTCCCAAAAAGGAGCGCAGTCTGAAAGACTCCTGGGAACCATGTTTCAAATCCTCCCATGGAAATGTTAGCAGACACTGCTCTGCATGATCCCAGCTACTCAACTATTAAAGCAGAGAGCTGTGATATGCAAACCCAGCTATTGCTTCTCCCTCTCCACAGGGAATAGAAGGGTCATGTCATGGAATCATACAGGGTTTCCTATTGGACAGAAAGAGTAATAACTGGGCTGTGCACTGGCTATGCCTATCAGCTACTCTTTATCACAATTTCGTGAGCCTTGAGTAACCTTGGGTTCCTCACAAACTCACCTCCCTCAGGATATACCCCATGCACCTTCTKGAGAGCATATATACTCCAGTCACCAAAAACAAAAATCTGAGATCCACTGCTATGGGCTGATTCTTCCTAAACAAATTATGAWTAACTCTTACTGACAACAGTGGTTTAATCTTGTTTCCAGAGTGATAACAGAGTTTCTTGAGCATAATGATCAATGTTATATTGGATTGGAGTAGGAGAGTAAGTGGTCTTGCACTTTCTCTGTGTTTATAGAACAGTGCATAAAAGTATGTTATTACTGTCCAAAATTTTATAAGATTTTTATAAAATAGTAACATCAATATTGTTATGATACACTTGTCAAATGCAACTTCAGGGGAGGGAGGGAAGGAGGGAGAGAAGGGCAAAATATTTACGGCATGTTTCTTTCATCTGGATGGCTGAACAGCAGGATTATATTCAAAGTTCATTCAAGGGAAATTTACAATAAGAAGTACATATAGAAAGCAGAAATATTTCTACCAAACCTGGGAACAATGCTCATATATTTAGAAATGTTTTTCTTTTCATGTATCAAATTCTCTAGGGATTCGGTTCAGCAAAACACCACCATAAGATTAGCTCTGTGYACTTTAATGGCATTATTCATGTGCTTAAAGAGAAGTATTAGCTTAAGTGCTGAACTTAAAAATTACATATTTTAACAACTTTAAAATTACAGTCTTCAAATAAAACATGCCAAAATAGATTTAATAAAAATATATCTTATAAAATTATTCCCAACTCACCAGAAACTTTTCTCTATCATCCAAAATCTGCAGTTATCCTCACCTCATCCATYGCTAGAGAGAATCCTCACATCTGTCTCATTTGTTATACCCAGATAAATGACCAAAATACAGATGTCGAGGGGATCTCTAGATGTAGCACAGCAATTTTTTTTTTCACAGCTCATCTGTTAACTATCCTAGGGGGGGAAAAAAAGAGATTTGAAAAATATACTTAGAAAACTGCCAAGAAAGATGGTTTCTTGATCCAGTAACTAAACCAAAGTGCTTCTGCAAGAGGCTATCACTCTGATGCTGACTAATAGTCAGTAGCAGCAGCATCTTCCTGGCTTCTAGGAAGCACATACCATAAAAGACACAAGTCCAATAGATACATCATCATAAATGTGCTCTGGCAACACTTCACCCCACCTAGACAGAAAACCATGTAGGTAACTTTATCGATTTTTCTTGTCTCRTAGTCCCAGTCCTTTTGTCATGGATTCAATCTGATCAGAATCCAAGCAACTCTATCATCAAAAGAATTTGAAAACTCACAGCAAGAAATGCTTAACACTGTTACAGTGGACAGCTTCTTAGATTAACCATGTAGCTAAGCAGCAAAAATCCTAATGCTGATTATGATTTCGTATGTGTTCCTTAAGGCCCAAGCATTTGTCTTCTCCCTCCACTACAGGCATAAAACAAATTTTTGTTTTAAAARTATTTCTTAYATTTCTCTAAAACTCAGGTAAAATCTTCCACAACTACCAYCACAGTTTTTTTCTTTTCTGTCTCAGATATCACAACCAATTCTCTTGCAGCACAGCTGAAGTRCAGGAAATTTAGGTCTATTTAGYATTAATGGTTTAAGAATAGAATTTCATCTCCYATCAGATCGAAACATCTACTGATCTGCACTAGTCTTCTTCAGAGCCCTAAGAAACATAGATTTTATTAGGACCTAAAGATATTTTAAACCCTCTAAAAGGCAGAATACACAACCACATCTGCGGAGTTCTTTTACTCTATGTGAAAATTCTATTCATCAGCTGACATGACTGGGGAAGCTCCTTGCTCACAGTAGGATACCCTGCACTAGAYCAMGAGCATAAACRTTGCAACAGAATAACTGTCTTCAGTTCTTTTCAATTTTGGTTTTCCAGTAAAGAGCAATTTCTCCAGTCAATCTAAGGTCACTAGAAGAATGTGCTTGGCAAACTCCTYGTAGGCAGCCACTGCGAGGGTCCACTGACCACACTGAAAACTCTATGAAAGAACTGCCTTTGTTACTACATTCCTCCAGTGGCAAAAGGCCTGCCACGGGTAAGTTAGGCATCAGAAACTGTATTTTAAAAAAAAAATTCAGATTTGACTAGACATGTGGGTAGAAATGCAGCATTTGTTTGCTCATGACATACATAGACAGATGAGCTTGTAATGAACACTTACCATCCCAACTCTGCTACCAGTGTATTATTTATAACTCCAGAGCATTTCCCAATCCTTGCAGAYGCCTGTAAATGAGGATGACATAAGCACATGAAAAGAGGCAATGCCAGCAACTATATAGCAAGAGGCTCAGAAGTGCCATAATGCCATTCTGGMCAATTTAAATATTCATCCTTTCCTTGTTAACATAAACCCTCTACATATTCAGTTTCTCACTTAAACAGGAGGTGAAGTGATTTACACAGCAATGCTTAGTGAGATGGCATCTTGATTACACTTGATCTCCCAATACACAAAAGTGTGGCTTCCCAAGAGTTAATAAAAAGTGATGGTTACAAATTACAAGAGTACTACTTACAAAACGAACTTAAGACCAAGCACAAGAATGTCTAATCATCAAATCAAAAAAATGCCTTGAGAGGTATTTATTTCTCAAGCATGGATGGGTGGAACAAGCTATGATTATATCTCTCATCCTTTAGCATGTGCATTTCTTACAGAACTACCTTACACTAGTGTTTAGGAAGCCGATTGCTTCTGCTTCCTTATCAAGAAATTAGGTGCCATAATGTTGGGTGTATGATTAAAAAGATAATAATACTATATGGACGCAGAGGAACTCAAACATTGATATTTCGTTTTCTTGTCCTACTGGGGATCTGCCMTTCTTTAGATTGTTCTATTATGTAACAGACAGAAAAAACTTTTTGTGATCATAAATTTATATGAGTCAGGTTTGTACATCTAAAAGCACTCAGGGCTTGACCTTGCACTTCCAAATTTTTAGGAGTCTCTATGGGACTCTAAAACAAAATCTTATTATATAAGTATATTGTATTGTAATTGTATTATATATGAACTCATATATGAGACAGGGTTTATAATACTTTGGAAAACCTGGCTGATCTTCAGAAGCATATCTCATYCTCAAATAAAACAGAGAATTAAGTAAAAAATTAAGATGGATTGTACTTAATATTCAGAGCTTTTCTAGTTTCTAGCTGTGAGAACCAGTGCTGAGTGTATTCATAAAAATTTTCTCCAATCACATTAGAAGAAACCACATACAACTATTACTTGACAGTCCAGGTTAGGGCAGTGCACACTAAGCTACATGTCACAGTAGGATGGTGGTACTACAGTGAAATGGCACTGCATTTTTTCCAAGCCTGACACAATAACTCTACTCTTTTTGAAAGAGCATTTGAACACTCTCTTCTCCTTGTTATTAACTACCATAATGAGTTAACAAAGAAAACAAGAAAGTCACAAATACAAGTCACGTTTCTGTCCAGAAGAAGAATAATTGTAGAAATAAGAAAATATTAGCATAATTCAATACTAATAATTCAAATGTCAGTAATTAACAGCCCAATAAAAATTGTCTACGATTTYCATACAAATCTTACCATCTGCCTGCAATAAAAATCATGAAGCGTATCTCTGCTTCAAGTGGAAGTCACATGAAGGAGATGTAAGTAGCAACTATTCAGCAAACTAAAGAACCATGTAAGTCAAGATAAAGGGGGTGTTTTCTCTAAAAAAGAGGTCCATTATCTTAGAAATTCTTGAATTTATTCTCAATATCAAGAAACAGGATCCTCCCAAAAGTTGTGTGACTCCATAAATACATATAGCCTCCAAACATAATATTCCATATGTGACATTGTATAAACCAGAACAATATGTAACAAAAAGACCTATGAGTAAAGTTAAAAAATCCTGGCAACCAGCAAAAAGTTATCATGATGCAGATAGCTTGGTCACATTCCCTATCCAGCTTGCCTATGTGGACTTGGAAACCTGGAAGAGGTCAGGGACTGCCCTATGCTAGACACCAATGGTTCCAGGCAGCTTCACAATGGATCCACTGTAGGTCAACGCTGAGCCCAACAGCCAAGTTGAAACATATCCAAGAAATACAAGACATCAGACAGAGAAGGAGGAARAGTTAGAAAAGAGTTCGAAATGGCAGAGGAAACACCAAGGTCCAAGGAAAAGGAGGAGGAAGTGCTCCATGATGGATACACATGTACCCATGAAACACTGACTTTATATTGCATGCTTGAAAGATCAAAACTACACTCACAAAATGCATCTCTCTCAAAGTTGATAAGCTCTTTATGACATTGTGCTAGATGTTAGATGACAGAGGATGAGGCCAAGCACAGAAGCTGCAATAGAGTTGGGATGCTGGCGCTGCCCTAGTGTGTCCACCCATCCACCTCTACTCTCCCTTAACAGTGCCTGTGTGAGACGGTAGATTATRGGACTGGAAAGTCTATCAGGATAAATCTTGAATACTGTGCATAATGGTCCACACTTTAGGCATCTTTATGAACAGTTGGAAGATTTGTCCAATCTCTCATCCTTATAATTCTGAATGTCAATAATTTGGCACAAAATCCATGGCACAAAGAAGTTAAAGCAATACTGAATGTAGTCCTTTTTGCAAAACCAAAGTGCATCTGTTCTAGCGCAGAAAATACAAATATTGAGGTTTGGGTTATTGTAGTGGTCTTGGCAACTTTGGATGATCTCAAGCAACACTGGCTCCAYGTAAAAATTAAGCACAATATCAAACAAGGTGGGAGAAGGAAGAGGCTGGGGAGGCTGTATGGCATGCATGTGTCAAGGTAGCAGAGTTATTAAATCAGCATTTGTAAGGCAATTTTGTATCTTAATGTTAAAGGCAACTTCATGCTACCCCTCCTCTCTTCCAACTGTCTCTAAATACACAATTACAARGAGCACAAGAGGAGAAAATAAGAAAAAAATGTAGAGGACAGAATTCACACCAGAAAACAAGAAGGCTTTTAAAAGTCTTGACATGGCTTGTTACATTAAGGGTGTATTACTTGCTGATTGCCACACCAAAGAAGGAGAATGAAATGGTTGAATAAGGTGCCCAATATGCCCTGCCTTGAAGAGTRGCTTGGCTGCTTTGTCCTCTGGTCCTTTTTTTTGCATCAGCATTTTCTGCTATGATCAAATAAGACAAGGATCTTTATTTTTGCTTCAGATTTATGTAGCTGCTTTACTTTAGCATTGAGAAATTAAATTCAAATATATTCATTTTAAATATTAACTTGATTTTTACATCTGGGAGCATGTATCAATAATAAACTGGGATGATGAATCAGTAAATGGCATAGAGTATCAATAGGGATTACAGTGTTCTAAGATGCATAAAGTGGAACAAATATTTAAAAGAGGAAAGCATAAGAAGAGAGTTTAGCAGTAAGGATTAATTACTGTGGGGTTAGTTTCCTCAGGATAGGATTTTAAACATTAAGATTAATTGTTTCAGAACACATATGATAAGAAAAGGGGGAAAAAAAAACCAAACCAGAAATTCAACTAGATTACAATAAACTGGGGATTCAGACTCTACAGTCATTTGCAAAGAGATTGCTGGGATAAGAACTGGAGTCCTACAGATCAGATATCACAGAACATGGTGTCTCAACTCATAGGTGGACAGAAGGCAATAAAAGCCTCTTAGTGACTTTACCTCAATACACTGKTTTTTCACTTCTGTAGCATCTAATATGATGCCACTGCAGAAGCCAAAAATATTGAAGTCATATAAAGTCAAAGTAGTCATTGCTGAATTCCCTTCTTGACAATGATAGAGTCCTCACTTCAGRTCTACATGCAAGGATGGTTTGAAATTACACTATCCCAAAGCACCCATAAACTCCTCTTTTGTATTACATAGTGCATTTTGCAACARTTTATTCCACAACAATGAGACTTAAATTCTTTTGCAATTCTAATGCAGTTATTAATGCAGCAGTTGACCAGAAAAATACCTACAAGTAGTCTAGAAAACAGCAAGGAGACAATTAGTCTGAATTGGTAGCAAGAAAAAAGCACTAGAAACAATCTTTTGTAAAATTCTCTTTCCTCAAGGCTGTGCATATTTAGACTACAAACCCAATTATAGAAAAATACTGCACAACACTTAAGTGAAATTTCCAGACATGGAGAATTCTTTACTGATATTTTACTGCACAATCTTCTGGGTTTTTTACCTAYTGAATTAGTTAATGCTCTGAAGTATTCTTTGATACTGCAGAATAATTTTCCAACTTAAACAACTTGCACAAACTTATCAGCCAAACTAAAATCAAAAGAGCCAAGCTTTGATGAATTATGGCAATGCTCTACAGACAATGTGCAAACAAAATCCTTTTCCCTTCCCCATACATTCAATTGCTACCAGAAACTATGTGGAATATTCTGGTGAGGGAAGAAATGAAAAAAGAAAAAAAAAAAAGCTCGAGGATGATCAACATCCCACCACAAAAAACTCACACTGATTTCAACAGGCTTTAAACAACAGAAAAATAATTTTCTTTCCTCTCTGCCCCTTTGTTCTTTGCTGTTTCCACACATCTTAATCTGATGCTGTAACAGCAGCTGGTGTTACGGCAAACAGCGGAATAATGCTTTCCTGTATTCTGCTCTCCCCTCTCACTTCAAAAAAATTCACCTTAATTGCAACTCAGCAGTGAGAAATCTCACGTACTTAATGAATAGTGGCTTTCACTCCACTCRCAGAGTTTGGTTTTACCCTCCAGCTGGCTCCCTGGGCACCTTCCCGGTTCCAACAAAACATTTTAATAAGACCCACTATCTACAATATCTAGGTACCTAGCATTTACATGTTAAGAATCACTCTTCAGATGGRCCATTTAGTGATGTCCCTGAAGAAAATGGCCTTTATTAAAACTTAATTTTTGTTTTGTTGATCATCCCCAAGGCTGTACTTTCCCTCTTACCAGAAGCAGTAAAACGAAAATTTTGCAAAAAACACCTGACTGTAGCATTTACCAAGAACAACTAAGTTCTGGTTAAGGTGCTTGCAAACACTACATGAGAACAAAGCTTCAAGACAGGTACTTTAGAAATCCRTGGTTTTAAATGTTGCACAGCACTTATATATGTGGATTAGAAAATACACGAGCATGGCTTTTTTTTTTATTTATTTAAAGAAAGGCACAGTGTGTTGGAAAGGCACAGCTTCTCCCTCAGTTTTTTTAACAAAGGATGAAGATTTAGCAGGACTGGCACCAGCTCACCAGATAGAAAGGCCTCATTTCTTCACAAGAAGTAAAGGCAGGTTGATGCAAAAGGTTATGGTGRCAAAAGACTATGTCAGGTGTTGGCTAGTGAGAGCAAAAAGCAAGTCTATGCATGCAGACTGGAATGATTTATACCACTCTACAGATCATGGGAATCACAAATTAAGCAGGATAATTAAGACAGGGAAAAGAAGAGGAGCAACATCAACACATTTAAACTATAGGAAAGGAAGAGGAGAAATCACCAGTCGAATTCTCTAAGGTTTATGTTGAATTTCTCCTGTTACTAAATTAAATGCCAGGTGAAGGCCTTGTCTAAACATACCAGTTGTGCAATTTCTACTCAAATCAATTACAAACCTCATTACAGTWACACAGGTGCAAAACTCCTTGCAGACCATCTTTTATCACTGCTTAAGTGATTTACACATATCCACAAAGGGTCACAGCTGCTGAATTAAACCCATTTTACAATTATATTAAACTCATGTTATTTTTGTCTATATGGTGACTAATAGATGGTGGTTTTTTAAGGGCATTAAACTTCAGATTCCTGAAGATAATTATGGGCAATAGTGTTCGTTTTCTCTCATTTGAACATTTTTAAACAATGATCATCTGAGCACATAGTTGAAATCAAGCATCATCCACCACATCAAGTAATGCTCAACTGTGCTACTTTAATATTCTTCAGTTCAGGATGTATTGTATCAATAATTTCTAAAGCCATCCTCAAAAAAATCTTAACACCAAGCTTAACAACTTGTTCAGCTGCAGGAGCACAAAGTTGAAAAGATTGTTTAAGACACTTGTTTATTCACTTCAAACCTGAACTGCTCTTCAAATGGCTTTCTAAACTAAGGTGTCTATTCCTCTATTCCTGTTGATAAACACTGCTGAATTGTTGCTAATGAAGTTTGGCGAGAAATATGAGCCATGACTTTGTACTTCTGATTAATAATTTATTTCCTGATGTGTCCATGCACAGTTTTTTCTGCAGCAATTTTGTTTGCCATTCTTTCAGCAGCAGTGACACATGGTAGCCCTGCTGAGGAATGAGGAGCTTTCATTTGACATTTTCCTACATTCTGCTCCACAGTTTTCAAGATTTTCTAGTTTGTACAACCGTAATATGAATTCTGCACTTGGCATTATCCCCTGAATAATTCTATTATTAAGAAAGCTTGGAAATGAAAGACTTTTTTCTTTCCTTAAGGCATTTGGCCATTATTTTGCATGCTTAGAATAGGAAACTGATTTTCTGTACACMAAATTGTTCATAATCACTATGCAAAGTCAACTCCTCAGTCACTAATGTGGACATTTTTCGGGTTTTGTGTTCAAAGAATGCACCACCACACACAGTGGAACAAATCAAACCAAATTACCTTGAAACAAATCAAAGACCACAAGAGGATGGGGAGGGAGTAAAAATAAAATAAAATAATAAAATAAAATAAAATAAAATAAAATAAAATAAAATAAAATAAAATAAAAATGTCTTTCCCTATTGAGTCATTAGTGGGGGTTGAATGCAGTTCCCAGTAGGCACATTTTGCATCTCCTGCACAGAAATGTGCTTTCCATTGCTGTCATGGCAGTACAGGACCAAACCCACTGAATCCTTCTGTCTACCTAAAGCAGTCTCTTAATTTCCATCTGTGTGCATTCATTTGATGATTTTATCTTAAGATTATWAAGCCTTATTTCAATGCAAACACTATATTTACAGAAACAATAATAAAAGCTTTTACTAGAACTGTGCTTTTGCTGCCACTAAATTTCATTGCCCATGCTCTGAGACATTCAAGGGTACAGACTTTTGAACAGTTTGAAAATKAATAGGCAACAAAATCATTTGTTACCAATGACAAAGAAACACTTTACCATTAGTCAGCATTCAAATAAATCATRTTGTCTGGGCTTGTCTATGCTCCAAAAATTGTCTGATCTAACTCTGACAGTATAGTCAGAATGATATAACCTCCCTGTTGCAAGTAAAATTTACAGCACTGAAATTTAAAGTAAACACCATATAACCTTATCCACAACATGATCCGCAATCATTTTTAAATAAATCAGATTCCAAATCAAGGAAAGTTAACATCAGTAGTAAATTTTACATTAAAATAGCTCTGATAAACACATTTTTCCCCCCTGATAATATGAATCATGAGTTCTTTTTGGCTCCTTAACATCTAGAAAAATGGTCAGAGAGGGAAGAAAATGCAAAGGTATTCTCTCAGCATACAACACTGCCATTTAAAACAGCTCCTCAGTTACATTGTTAAGCCTGAACTGCCTCACCAAAAACAAGATGCCAGCTGAGAGAATGAAAATTCAGAAAAGTAGACCAGGACTGAGCCTCTTGCAAAACCACCCAGTACCTTTTAGAACACACTTGATAGTTGCAAATTTCTGCTCACATTTACCCGGCGTTCACGAGCCAATTAAAAAAAAAAAATCCTTCACTTGAAATGCCAGTTGGTCAGCTCATTAAAAAAGCCTCACTGACAGCACCAGGAAAAGGGTAAATGTCTTAGTCTATCTTTAAAGTATTATTGGCCTATTT